GGCGGGCGCCCAGATTTAAGAGGGGGGAGAGAAGGTAAAAACCGAGCGGAAAGCCAAGTTTCGGGTTCGGTGACGGATTTTGGCTGGGAGCCGTTCCGGGCGCGACGCGACACCGAGCGCGCGTCGCTCCGGTGGAGCTTATTTCGCCCGGATTAAACACCTACCCCACACTGGCACCGCTCACATGTAGGGACGCGGCGGGTCCCCGCGCCCCAGGCGGTCTGCCGGCGAAGATCGGCGACGGCAGCCACGGAAAGGGAGCACAACAAAATGGGAAGGGGAAACGCCGGCGGCTCTGCAACGCCGACAACAACAGAAAAAGGCAGCGGTAGAGCGTGGGCCGCGAGACGCCCCACGCCGAGGGAGCTGCTGCCCAGGCAGAGCATCCTTAACCGGGGTCACGCGTGCGCTCGGTGCGTTTAAAGACCCGTGCCATCTGCAGGGGACGGCACGGTAGCGGCAACGACTCTCCCTCCCCAGCGCTACCCGTGGCACACCGCAGCCAGCCCAGGGCCCGGCATCGTCAGCTAAAACAACAAATACGGACGGTATTAGTACAAAGATACCCTTGGGGTAAAGCAGCGCAAATGTAATCTAAGGAGAATGTTATGGGGAAGTGTGTTTATAATTATAATGGGATTTAATGTACTTTGGGACCAGATGATAGCAGTCATTTAACGAGAACAGCCTAATAACAGAGGCCTCACAATGAAAGGCGGCGCTGCTTGGGTTATTAGACGCGTATGATAACGCAGCGCTCGCGGTAGTACACTTACGGGTAAGGCATCAGCTACCCCTATTTTTTCGGGGGTTATAACTCTGCCGTTTTAACTGGCAGAGCGCGAAAACGCGGAGTGCAGGCAGCCAGCGTGCCTGCAGTATGGTTTTTTTAATTGCCTAAAACTGCTCGAGTTCCTCCCCCTCCCCGACTTTTAAATCCGAACGACTGAAAGGGGGGAAATAGCGAGGCAGTGTGGTTTCAGGTGTTTGTTTACCCTCCTCTAACTTTTAAAAGGCTTGATTTCAGGACTGAAATTTTGCAGACGGTTAGGGGTATGTTTTTTAGTGTAGCTCGCATGAAATTAAGCTGCGTGAGTCCCATTAGCAATAATGGAAATCCCACGGCTAAATTCCCAGGCAGCATCCTGAAAATTAACCCCCCAGTCCTTCCCGTCAACTGGTGCGTTGCACTTTCTGTTGCTCCTCTAATACCTATAGTAAAAGCTACTGAGTTGTTTAAGAGACTGGCTTCCCGCAGTTGCCCTTCCCAAAAGGTACCGACCGGCCTGTCGACCCCGAGCAGGGAAACCCTGCGCGCCCCAGGCAGCGGCGTGCCCGGATCCCTCCTGGATTGACAGCGTGCCGCCGCATTGGTGTCACGGGCAGAGCGTGCTGGCGTCTTTGGAGACCTCCCTGGGCAGCGGGGGGTTTGAATGTGAAGGTTGTTTTGCTTTTAGAGGCGAAGCAAGATGGAAGAGCTGGTTAGACAACTCTGGCCAGAGCATCTTTCCGCAAGCCGTGTTTGTCAGCCAAAACCAAAGGGATCCCCCTTCACTCGGGGATTTCTTCCCTCGCCCGCCTCTGTTTCCGAGCGGGCTGCACCAAAGCAAGCTCTGCCAACCCCAGACCTCCCCAAGGCACCGCGGAGGTCTTTCTCCCGACCTCTCTGGCCGGCCCACGCTGGCTCTGCCCGTACCCGAGCCCCGTTGCCTCCCGAACTGTTACAGTCCCCCCCACACGCAGCCGTGTGCACACAGAGGTGGGAGATCCCTTGCTGGCCAGAAGGCAGAGCGATCGTAACGCGCGTAGAGCGGGAGAAAGCCAAAAACTCCTGTCCATGACCTCGAGCGTCGACTCCCTTTCCCCCAGCAACGCCCCCCGCATGCTGCGCAGGGGAAATGCTAAAGAAACGCAAACTCCTCCCTGCAGAGCCTGGGCCAAGGCGCCCGTGACCTCGCCTACGTCAGGTGCCTCGATCCGGAACGGAAAGGACCGATCGGGACGCGCGCACAAGCCAGAGGGAAGAAGCAGAAGTAGCCACTTGCCTTAGCGCCCCGGGGAAGGGAAGAAGAACCGTCTCCCAAGGTTCAGGCATCGGACCTGCAGGCACGCCGAGAGGCCGGTGGCTCTGGGGCGGGAGGTACCCGCCGGAGCAGGAGCAGCCCTGAGGGACGGGGGGCCGTTAGAGGGCTGCCCAGCACCTGCGGCCCCCCCGGGTGGGGCCCACGGAGATGCCGAAACCGAGCTCGGGAAGCCACCACCACGGCCTTCGGGGTCTTTTCCCCGTGCCCCGGCACGGGAGTTAATCACCTGTCGCTGCCCCCCAGTACCTTCCATTTCCTTCCCATCTCTCCCCATCAGTTTCCAATTTATTTACTTTTCTGATCTTAATCCCCACCTTGTAGGGTAACGTGTTTATTAGAAAGGAACCAGCACGTTAAATGAAGCCAAGCTGGGCTCTTGTGTTAAATAGCAGTCACGCCCAAGTGCCTCTCCATGTGCCATTACTCCAAGTGATTGAGGCAATTTCTTCCTCCGCCATGAGTTTCAGTTGTAAATCTCTCAACCAGATACGGGGGCAATGATGTGCTGCCTGGTGCCATTATTATTAACCTCCAGCATTAAACTCGTGCGCCGTCCGTGGTTTCTCGGGAAGGTCTTCCTGTGAAAGGACCAGGCGGAGAACGGGCATCCTTCCCGGGAAACCTAGGGATCCCCTCAGATCCACTTCTAGCCCCCAGCCCTTCGTTTATTTTGGACGGGGAGAGGCGAACGTTCACTTTCCCAACAGAAGTAGCCTGGCGAGCGTCAGCAGGCCTGCAGGAAAAAAAGCTCCACAAAGCATGGGTAGGGCAAAGTAACGGCCTGTAAGCGTTTCGAGGGATGATGCAAGGGCAGCTTCAGGCTTCTCCTCCAGGACTCAGCTAGGCACGCGGAGAGGAAGAGGAGAAGAAAACAGAAAAGTCCCCGAAATTACAGTAAGAAAGGAAACGCCTTCTTCAGGATGCTTAGCCCACAAAAAAAAACCATCGTGGGAGACAACTTCAGCGAGAAGGTCCCCCAGCATCATCCACCCTGCGCGAACGGGAGGGGAGGAGGACTCCCCCCAGCTGGCCTCTCTCTGTCACCCCCCGAAACCCGCACGCAGGCAGCTGCTCCTTTCCCTCTCCCCCCGGGTAAATGCCCTTTTCCATCACCTGCACTCCTCCAGCAACGTCAGACAGACTCATCATCCCTCCGCTTTCCACCCCAGAGAGGGGGTGCAATGAAACGGCTCCCGCTTCTCCAGCTTGCTGGGCCCCGAATTTGGTTGCCCCCACCCCAGCTCTGCCCCCCAGACCTCTTCTCCCCGCTGCTTTGGAGAACCAGCTGGTGCACACCCGAGCTGCGCACGGGGTGAGGCGACGGGAACTTTCCTACATTGCAACTCGTACATTTTCCTAGGAATAGTTTTGTTTCGCTTTTGGTGTATTTGGAGGGTTTTCCAGTCTTGCTGGTGCGGAGCTGAATTATGAAACACTGGAACAAGGATTTCGTGCAAAATAGGAGCTGTTTTGACTGAAATAAAAAATCCATGACTTCCAAAACCTGATTTTTGGTATCGCTCCAGACTTTGCGAGAAGTTTACAGCATCCAAACTCTGGCGTGCGCACGCACCAGACCAGGATTTTGTCAGGCACGTTAGCTTTGCTCAGAGACGGGGTAGAGCGCGGTGCTCTACTTTCACATGCGGCAAGC